AAGCTGAATAGGTGTTACCAACGCAAGCACAAAAATAATGCCCCGTGTATGGGTCCGTTTTATATCATTCTGATATACGCGACCAATCGGCTACGCCGTTACATTTCCCATGCCATGTCCGCCACTTGCAAATACGTGTCACTTACTCGGATTATCCAAGTATTTGGAGCAAATCCAATGATTGTGGCGTTGTGTCTAATGCCCATGAGATGTTTGCCAATAGTTTAGATGAACAGAACTTGTAGTTTAAAAGTTTCCTTTTGATTTAGTAACTGGCCATATGGAAGCCTTGTCAATACACTTCCACAGGGTGTAATGATCCTCGGGACACCCCACAAGTTCCTAGCCACTTCTCTACGTCAACATTACATATTCTGCCCGTTTTTAATGACTTTTTTGTCTCTATAAAAGGCCTTAGGCACTGCCACATTTTGCCACGAAAGCAGTCCTGGAAGAGCGATTTAAAAGTGGCTTTTATTTACATTGGTACTGCATTTTTCCAAATATTCCCAAATCATACAGTTTTTAAGAATTCGCAGATTAATCTGTTATCAAAACTGTCTCTATGGTATCGACACTATTTTAAAAATGTGCTTCTTATGCTGTCATGACATGTGATAGTAATAAAGTGATGTTTTGTTCTGCATTATTGACATGGCACTGTTCAACGAAGTGAAAATTGACAATGCCAAAAATTGGGATTATGATCTAACTGCGGCAGCTGAAAGTGTTTTCGCTTTTTTAAACTAAGTTCTTGTGAAATTCTCTTCCTTATTCTTTGTGTGTATGATAAATAAGTGTAATACGATAGTGGTTTATTCCTCGGCCCTGGTGGGGCGCCACTTTTGTACTTTGAATTAGCCCCCTTGTACCTCGCTGGGTGAACTGGCCTTTTGGGCCATGCCAATAGCCCAGATACCTGCTCCGTGCTGAATATATATATTCTGCCCGAGTATTATGTCTTCTTTCGGCTTCAGGGCGTCTCGGGACACTACAATATAGCATATCTCTGTGGCTTTAAGGTCATTTTTTTGGTCACAAATCCTCCTGAAATTCGCCTTTATTATCTCAAAATTCGATAAACGTGTTGACATAGCCGGCGTCCTAAGTTCTTATATAATTCCTATCAATATGGAGGTAGATTATTATAACTGCATAGAACATGTGTGTTGCAAGCATAGTCAGGGAGTTGTCCCCAGAGTAAATACGAAGCGCAGCCACAAAAATTAAAAGCATTAAAATGCAAAGACCAATGGAACATTAAATCGTTACTTTACCTTTGGGGAGATTACATGCCAATGCTTTTTCCACAATATCGTTGGGCTTTGTCTCTATCGCATACTTTCGACTTAATTTTTTCATTTATTTTCGTTTTTTCTAAAGCATTTGTTTGGTATGTAATTTGGTTTATTTTTCTTTTTGTGACCTTTACAACTTCGTTTGACTGCTTTGAACCTAGTACTTTGGATGGCCCAGGACTAAGCATGGGTTTGAAAGAAAAGGGCAGTCATCTTCGTTTTCCATCCTATTTTAAAAAAATGGACAAAGATTTATTGTTTGGAGTAATGACTGTTGTTGGTGTTACTCTTCTCCATCACACATTTGGGTTTCTATACGCTAGCAGTAAGGGGACTAATTTCTCTCCATATGTTATTTTAGGTGATTTGGTTCCATACCTTCAAGACTATTTTAATACCTCATCTGGCGCAATAACCTTTTATACTAGCTCACTTTTTGCCTGCGAAGCAATATCTACACCTCTTGGGGCCATGCTCTCCCAAATTATTGGTTTCCGTTGGTCTACATTTATCTCAATATTATTGACTAGGTAATTTGACAACACACGTTTTATTAATTTCCTTATTTCTACGATCACAAATGGTTTAGTTGTGTTTATTTTTTTGCGCAGAGTAAGGAAGTAAAAACTCTCATTGAAATTTTGTTCAGCTTAATAGTTTTCTTTTATTTATGTTCGAACTTAAGAACTGAACTTCATCATGCACAGACTTTTGAATTATTTTTTAGATTAATCTTTTAAAGTGACAAAGGAATTTTTAGGTTGTTATCACGGTTTTTATATTTCTACATTTAAGCCCTTTGATTAGGAAGCTTGCATAGCTATAGATATTATGTTTGTAGGAATGTAAAGTATATAAATAACCCAAAATTTTTTGCTAGTTAATTTTTAGGGGGTTGTGGACTTATTTTAGCTAAGAAGTTTGCTTGTTCTGTCCGCTTGTCACCTAAATTTTGTAATCAAACTTACACACCTTGCATAGTCCACATATATTTATGTGTGTTTTTCTTGTGAGATAGCTATCATTACAGAGTGTTTTTGATAGCATTTCCTTATTTTGTAACTATTTAGCATCTACATTTATATTAGACCATCGGTACTCCTTTGTAAGTACAAATTTCCCCATGATGGACTGCAGTTACTCGTGCGCGGATCCGTGTGTTGATTCTCAACTAACTTATTGATGCGATAGTTGTTACCACTCAAATTGCACCACCGATGAGATCCATGGCGTAATTCGGATGGTGGGACGGGCCTATAGAGCTGCATCAGCTGTCTTTCTAAACGGATGTTAGAACGACATATCCTATTGTCTTAGCTCTTGGCTTAGTCACACTGCCCAATTATGCTGGATCTTTTCTTTTGTCGAAGACAGGGCTAAGCCCTAACCTGGTATGCTTGAGTCGATTGTTGAAATCCGTGTCCGCCGCGAAGGATTGAAGGTCTACCATCAGTGCAAATTTCTGCTGTAAAACACGGCCCATTTTGGAAACGTATGATTGTGCAAACCATCTAGATTCCGGTAGCGAATTGTGGTGTCATCTCCTCATGGATCGACTGCATCTTCTAAATCACGGGTTAGATCACGACCTCCTCCCACCTAAAGTGTACAATTTGGCAATCACACGGATCATTATATCATCCAAGTTTCATATTCGATCACCTTTAAGGATTGCGTTGCTCTTTACTATTGTTGATTTTCATAATTTCTTTGAAAGGCTTATTTTTCATCTTTATTAAATATTCACAATTCTTTTCTAGTGGTGGTCTTCTCCTCTCACAATTAACATTGAACTATGGCTTGGGGCCCCTTATTTTCACGAGTTCTATAATGTTTGGCTTTGGAATCGGCGCTTCTTACTCTGTTTTGTATGCTGTTGCTACAGCTGTACGTCATTTGTCCCTTACTAGGTTTTGCTTAGTTAAAATTATAATCTTATTTTTCTGTTTTTAGTGGTTTCCAAATCACAGATCCATTATTGTTGGAATCATTGCGTCTGGGCTGGGTTTGGGTGCTTTAGTTTTGGTACCCATTCAAACTGCGGTTATCAATCCGAACAACTTACAAAACTTCACTCAGTATGCATCCATTGTCTTTTAAAAATTGCCTCTAAAATTTATTTACAATGGGATTCCTTGTTTTTTCTTTAGCCCCGAGGTTAAGAACAATATTCCGAAAGCTTTTTCTGTTCTGGGTGGATTTATCCTTTGTCTTCAAATAATCGGGTTTGCTTTACTCCGGGAAAAACACTCTGATGTAAATTTGCTTATTATTATACGGGTTTTTTCTTCCAGATCACAACGTCAAATAACTTTCTCGTTATTTAGGTTGAAATGTCTATTGAGTTGTCTACGATTGCGTAAGTGTAATGTACATATGGGCAAGGAACGTGATAGACTATTAGCTAATTTTTTTAATTTTAGTGATTCTCAAACCGTTGAAACAGTGATGGAGAATGAGAAGTACGTGCAAACAATGCGAAGAGATGTTTATCTTATATTATTATTCCATTTTTACAGGGAATTAATTGTGAGAAATTACACGACGCTGGAGGCTCTCAGAACCATCGACTTCTACCTCGCCTTTCTTATCAACTTCTTTAACTCAGCCCTAACTGGGCTGACCTCATCAACCGTGAAGGTATGAAGTACTAACTGAAATTCAAGTTAGGCTACATTTAGCTGTATCGATACATAACTCCTAATGTATTTACTGTTTGATTTTCGGTTGGAATACTCCTTGTTCCTTGTTTTGCATTCTCTATTTGGACGTTCTTTTTTAGACTTATGGAAGAGATTGTGGATTTGATAATAATTTTCTCGTAATAGTTCTCACTTTGAGCTCAGTCTTCAATTGTCTGGGTCGACTAACATGGGGTATCATTGGCAACCGATACTCATTTAAGGTGAATTTTGTAAACACTAATTACTCATCTCGGTTTACTTGCCCTCTCGTCTTCATGACACATAATGGCTTTCCATTGCTCCTGCTCTAGGGTCCATTAATCATTCTTCAAATTGAATGGGCCTCTCTGTGGTTCACGTATGGTTTCGTTACGCAAGTGGGTGGTACTGCAGCCAAAGCACTTTTTGCGATTTGGACTTTCCTTCTATACACCTGTCTGGCTGCTAACTTTGTCCTCATTCCCAATCTGGCAACTCGGATTTTTGGACCCAGAAGCATGCCAACCATATTTGGCCTGCTATTTGCCGCAATGGTTCGTGATTTGCAGACTTAGATCTCAGTTCAAAATTCTTTTTAACTCCAGCTAATTCTAACCATTTTCCTTCGCCTTCATAATCTTCAATTTGCCAACTTTCTTCTTGAAATTTGTGCACATTTTTAAAGGATAAGACCAAAATTGTACATTACTTCAGAGAGGTGTTTGCCGTTTTAGGCGCCCAGTACACTCATCCTGTCCGGAGTAATTGCACATTTCGATATTCGTGGTCAGTGGGTTCCCATTTACTGCTCTGGGGCAGGTTTTGCAGTTATAGGTGAGTCTTGGCTAATAGCTGCTCAATAGATCTGTTTGTAGGTCTTATCCTCACCCTCTTCTTGCGGGATCCAAATGGAGCGTGCACAGCATGGACAAATTCCTGTGCCAGAGTTTGCGACTGCTGCCGTTGTGATCCCAAGGAGGAAGATGTTTGGAATAAAACGGAGATATCTGACAAAAAGGAATTTAATTAAGTCAACTATTAGCAAAACATTCCCACTTAAAGCCTGAGTTTGCCATCGAATGAGTTTCCTGCAAAATGGAGCTCCTGTTTGCAGCACTCCTTGGAATTTAAACATCCTTCCAAGGACTTTTTTGTTGGAAATAAATCACTTTTGCTTTAAAGTTAAATGCTACTTTTGCGTAACTATTGCAGATTTAAATCATTTGCGTGGGTATCGGTTAGTGCATGGCTTAGTTGAATCAGGTCAAGTGAAACCACGATATTTAACATGGTGAATTCAAGTTTTCATTGATATATATACAAGCACATATTGCGACATGTAATTCAATAGAGCATGTGGTATCCATTGCTTGTGGCTCTCTATTCATCAATTTTTCCATGAACCGTGCCCATCGCATTAGGAGGGTCCATGCAGAGATAAAGTTGAGGGCTAAACTACAACGCCTCGAATCGCCCAGTAGATAGTGAAGATCTGCTACTAAAATGCATAAGCCTGACAAGGTGTAGCCATGAAGGGGCGATAGACGAGACCAATCAGAGAGTCGCAACCATAGAGACTGAAAACTGTACGGTTCAAATAATAATCAGTCTACCAAAGGGTACCAAAGGGTATTTCACCTTTCTTGTCATCATCATCAGAGTTATTGTTGAGCAAAAAGAAAATAACAATTTCACCCCCTTTCCACTCTACATTGCTAGCCACCCCTAATCCTTAGGGACAATTGCACAAACAAGAAGATGGCTCTTTTATCCACCTCATTTCCTTTTCCTGGTAATCAAATTCCTCTAAAAGGCAGTTATAAATGTCCCAAAAGAGTAAGCGGTGATCAAATGAAACTACTCCTTTTAATTCTTTGCCTGCACTTTAAGAAGTCATGTTTCTGTTACGGTATGACACGCATTAATAAGTATTGTCCGATTGCAATCCTAACTTAGGCGATTCATTTACTGATCCGCACCTCGTAGCATAGAAGCCATTCAGTGCTGGGAGCATTCGGACAGATTGTGAATCGTCCACTCCTTCCTGGACGCTCGGTCAAAGCGCCATTATTTGCTATCGTTATTCGACTGCATACCAGGAGAGAAACCCCGTCCTAGGATGGTACAGTCGAATCGACAGACGCTTCTAGGCTAAAGCATTTTAGGTAGCAGTTAAAAGGAAGGGTACGCTTACACCTGTTGCACAAGGTTTTTAAAAAAGAAACAAATGCTGTCTTTAATCGTTGATGTTTGTTTCACTTTTGTACAAACTCGATTCAAATGCCCCTTGGATAGCATGGAGTATTTAACCTCTTCCGAACTGTAGCCTTCAATACTACGTGATTTGTCCCGCAAATGCTGACAAATTGTAGAAGTTTGTTGCGAGATTTGTTTGAAATAGGCACAGGATGGGAGGGCTAAAAATATAAAGTGCCTAGACTGAACTCCGCAGGAGTAGAAGGGAGACCGAGACGCTAGTACTGGTGCATTCTACTTTTGGTATTTGAGTAAATTTTGTTTCTCACATTCATGATCTTCTTTAGCAAAAATTACTTCAATGCCAGGGAAAAGTAAATTCGCTTACTGCATATGCATTCATTCAGCTTAATCATTGTCCTTAGTCTCGTAATTTGCAATTAAAAACTAGACTTCATGTTTTCATAATTCTGCCCTATGGAATTGTGTAAGATACTTGAACAAGTTTTTGGCTTGCAGGCAAAACTAGTAAGCATTTGTTTTAACATTACTTTGAGGTGTTGACCTCCTGGGTTACTGTACTTAGGATATAAAAGGCACTACCACGAAAGGTTCGTGGTGTGGAAGAGGTAAGGCACCCGATTTGTCTCTAGATTTGATTTTTTACAGTGGAACGAACACTTAGCCTTATACCCTTAGTCAGGATTACAGGCAAGATTAGGAAATAAGCCGTGTGGCCTAGTCTATTTAATATTGAGCATGTCATCTGCATTTAACAGTAAAAGAAATACATTTCTCCCACCATCATTAAAATGGTTGAGATTCGAACGATGATAGTTCAGATTATTAATAAAAGCAACGGTAGGTTAAAATCGAACTCATGTGATATCCGGGTGTTGAACTGAAAAAAACCATCATGATGTAGATTGCACACAAGGTATTTCACTCAGCTACCCGCCTTAACAGGGCTTAGGACCACAGGTGCTTTGGGAGCTATTAACTTTATTACTGGACAGACAGATGAAAAAAAGTGGTTTGTAAATATATTTCACTAAATAAACTTTGCACGCTCATTTATTCTCGTTTTACAGTGCGCAAATCATCTAAACGCATTAGATTGAAAGGTAAGCCTGCTGGTTCGAACATCTGAATTTGCTCCCCCGTTACTGCCGAATGACCTTGCAAAAGTGTTAAATTTTACAAAAGCAGCTGTCCATCTCAAAATACGATTCATTTTATAGTTTTTTATCCCACCTTATGCCAAGCATGGTATTGAGGCACACTACTTAATTACAAGTTCATGAGTTCTAAAAAGCACTCGCCAAGTTTGACAAATAGCTGGAAGAAGGTTGGTTAAACTAGAAAATTATGGGTGGTGAATGTGGTTTTGTTACCTTCATACTGTATTTCAGACATTTCACTAACCTAATAATAGGTACCAGTAATTTCCGCCCTTAGGGCAACGTTAGTTTGAAAATTCTGTTATAGACTTGCATTAAAAATAGTGTTTGAAACCAATTTTACGTCTTTGTTAAGTCAACTTGACAAAGTTGCCCCAAGGTTGGCGCGCAATTAGGTGAATCCACCCCGTGTTTGGGGTAATTTGTTTTTGGATAGAATTCTAATGGCCTTTTTAAAAAGGACAAGGTAAATGCACCAACTGACAAGAGACTATGTGAAATATGACAGAAGCCTAATTAAGACAAAGTAAAAGAAGGTAAAAACCCATTTTGTTTCATTGTGGTAATGTACTTGATTTTTGCTCGTAGCATGATTAGTCAGAATTAAAATAGTTGCAATTTTGAGGGACACTGTCTCTCTTTTTTAGGACAAACATATTTTTAAGTGGTTTTTTCACTTTTTGCAAATTGTTGTATTTGTTTGTGTTGCTATTCCTATATAGCAATGCAGACCCATTGCTATACACAGACTATCACAGCTTAAAGTAATAAGTCGTGAAACATTTGTTTAGTCTTTTGATAAATTCATTGTTGCTACAAGTTGGTTCGGGATTGTTTACTGCAGCCAAGGTATTTTGTTTGGTCCACAAGTATGGTTTATTTTTGTTTACCATTAGTTCCAATTTTTACTTTTTAGTTCTTCGACCGGAAACTTGCTAAAAATCTTTGCCTGCTGCATTGGAAAACTATGTTTTTTGGTTTTGTTTACACATTTAAATAACACTTAGTTGATTCCATGACTACGAGCGGATTAGGATTTGAATCGTTTACTAGGATTATAATTGTTTCTGAATTCTTTGCTGCTATTGTGCAAAGAGGAGTCTCACCGATTCATTAGAGACGTGTATGCTAACTTTGCTTTGGCATTTAGTGCAACTACGACGCCGTGAAGTGTCGGGTGGCAATGAATAAAATGACACTTGAAGATTATGTGGTGAGTATGCATTTTTAGTGATCGCGAATCCTATAAAGACATTTCAAAACAAGCCTTTCATAAGGTGCACCAGAAGATCGTCTGAGTTCCTTCAGATTGCAATGTGATTGTAAATTCGACGAATATTTAGAATTCTTTCCAAACCAAAAGGCTCTATGTCTACTAGGGATTTTTTGCCTATTTGTACTAAAATACTTTTGTATAAAAGTAAGTAGGTTGACTGATTTGCCTTATATACTAACTGCAAAACACTTTTAACAAGCAATGCCTTCCCTATTTTCCCCTAGCAACCTAAATTCTAGCATTTTGCTTGTTTGGTATATACACTTCCAAATATGTGACGGATTAATGCAGTGACATTGATTCATCTCGTTTTTTCATTGTTTATTGACCACTCTTTTGTTTCTTTTTTGGTGTATTTAATGGCAGGTTTTAGGAGGTTTTCGTGGTTGCTGAAGAACCCTCCCTTTTTTTTACAAAACACTGTTATTTAAAATAATTAGGACATAATAATTTATTTTCATTTTGCCTTATTTTTAAAGTCCACATTGCATGAGGGAAGTGGAAGCACTCCAAACTGTTGTGCCTCAGATTTGCCGACACCCAGAAATATGCGAGGCGTAAGTTCCAATTAAATTTGGTATGCATATTTTGTAGCATTTACAATGGTTAAGGTCCTGGAGTTTTGAGTTCGAAATGAATGAGAACTAGGAGTACATAATGACGAGAGACGAGCATTTGAATATGCGGCCCCACATTTGTTGACGCAAAGGCATTTCGATCACTACGTCATGCAGAGTCAGGATTAACATTGCTGACCTACGTGAAAGGATGTAAATGCTTTTACGTGGTAGTGTGTAGTTTCGATTTTTGACGTATTTTCTCCCATTTACTTACCTCTTTCTAGCGTAATATTTGTGAGGAACTGATCAATCAAGAAGCACCTAATCAAGGTAGTAATTATATAATGGGTTTTGTTATCTCAACCAAATCAACTTGCTCCATTCCATTAGTATTAAAAACCTCCTCTAAGTGAAGAACCTATCTACCTCAGATTACTAGCCCTTCCAGCTAAGCGATTAGCATCTCACTAAGTGTCGAAGAATGTTAATGTTGCTTCTTCAGTTGTCAATAAACATTTCTCTGTACACTGTTTTAAGATGATCTCCCCTATGCAACTGCAACAAAGTCCAATACGTCAAAACGTCAAGGAAGTCGATCCGTAGATGTAAGTCTGCCTTGTTAATTTTTCATTGATTTAATGAAGGTCCTAATTTGGCGGATGGTCAAATAATTTTGTGTAGTTTATGGATTACCTGGCCGCGAAGATTTGAAACGTGTCGGGATATTAAGTATGGATTTGATTGCATGTATGTAGACATAGATCGGCATGCATCAGTAACTTGGTTTGGTACACTCCATAAAGCTCTCTTCAAATTGTCCCTCAATTTCAAACCTCATATCTTCAAAATTCGGTTGAAGTTAGTGTATGCAAAATTCGAGCTTATAACTTACACGGTGTGAGTATGCTTGGCGTCACAATCAAAAAAGTTTTACTAACACTGAAGCTGGTGCTGTAAATTACATGATGTGGCGCACGTTGGCAAAGCGTGGTGCAATTATGTACTGGTCTTGGAGCATTCTATCACTGATCAGTTAGTGTAGGGTTGTCATACCAATCCTGTGACGTGTAGCCATTAGCGATGAAAGAGCGCCTCCTAGAGTGTCATGGCACAACACGGAGCGATTGTGCTTTATGGGGATTTGTCAGTCAAGTCACACCCTATAACTCCCTATTTTTTTTCTTCTGGATTTGCGGAACTGCACAAAAACCAAGCCAAAAACTAATCCGCGATGTTTTGGTGTTACATTTATTAGCTTTTTTCATGTAAAGCATCAGTGAAGCATGGACTATCTGTTAGCGTTTTTATCCGGTTAAATGCGATTTTGTTCACATTCTTTTTACTCATCCTGCGTTGTCAAAGGCTTCACCTTCAGTTGCACATCCGACATTTACTGAGGCCCACCTTAATCACTGTCATACCTAATTGGATTAGTAAGTACATTTTACACTCGTCTTTGAATGATTGTGCTAACGAGAAATGATTTTTTTAGAGAAAGTCCCCCTGGATCAGCACGGTCTACCCAGCCTTCTTCCTAATCCCGTACCCGGTAAACGCTGTGATTCCACACATGAAGCCTGTGTTGTATCCATTTGTAATATCTTTACTGTTACACTTTACCAGTTGCGGAAGCGCATACTTTCTACTGCCCATTTTCTACCATTTTAGTGCAAACACTTGATCGTCAATGCAACCCTGTCAATTTCTTCACCCACGTACCTGTCTGCGTGATGCAAATTATTTACTTAATACCTCCTTCCCAAATATCGAACACAAACGAAAATTGGTATCCTAGCGTCATGTCTACATTCCATAACTGGCCACTCGGCACTAGCAAACATTTGATTTAACACCTTCCTTGACTTTACCCTTGAAATCCATGTGGCAAAGCAACTTCTATTGCAGTAAAGTGGTGTACCATGCAAGTACTACATAAGCGACTTACATTTCTGCCTAATTCTGCCCCCTCCCCCTTGAGCGTTTTTCATTATTAAACAACATTAACGAAGGTGAGAAATTTGCTTTTTGCCATGGGTGATGTTGCTTCGTCTTAGAAGTCTTTGTAAAGCGATTTATTACAGCAATATGCATCGGTTCTTTGTAAAATACAAAAGCCTGCTCAGAAATGCATTGCTTGGTGGTGTACATTTGGACCTTTATTTCGTCCTGATATTTTAAAACATTTCTAAAAATGCAATAGAATTCCCACTGAATCGGACTTTGAGACGGTGTATTCAGCATTCATACATTACCCAATGCCTATGATGGTTGTCAGAAGTGTTCCAGCTGTGATAAAACCTAAGCTTTGGGTATCGTGGTACAATGACTCTTAAATTGCCTATTTATGTCAAGCTTGGAGCATTAGAAGTTTTAGAATTGTCCAATCTTACGCTGGAGCTCTCGAATATTTTGTCGCATTTCTTCAATGTTCTTTGCCTGAAACGGTAAAAAGGGTAGGGGTCACTAGTTAGGCGGTTGCAATGCAGACTTCATCTGTGCGGATTGATACACGAGTTGTCACCATTCAAAATTTCAGATAAATTGCACTTAAAGGCAACATAGACGGACAAATACAACCCCACAAGAGCATCGAAATGTCATTTTAATATAGATCAACCTAAATTTTTCTGGAAAAGTAGGCTATGGGGTCGTCACGAACATTAATGAAAAGAAAATTAATAGAAAAAAACTAGGCTTGCGTTATCATGGTGATAGGGCTCTCGTCTCTACCAGATATCAAGAGGAATGGACTGAAATAGGTCAGCACGTGAGAGGAGGCAAAAACTCACCGAAGGGAAATCCCTATTTGTTCTAAAGTTCGCCGCACACTTGTCGAATACGTCTAGTCGAGCGGTTAGTCGTTCCACTTCATCCAACATATCATTCAATTTGAGTTGCAAGTTGTTGATTCTTACTTTTTGTTTCTTTACAACTGAAGGCGTATAATTCGGGAATGATTTAAAGCACTTCTAATCAATCATGCATTTAGGATATGCAAACATTAATTTCTTGATATACCATGATGGAATAGAGTATCAATCATCTTTATTATGAATGAAATCAAATAAACGGTGGCATACACTTTTACATGAAGATTCTCTTAAATAATTTCCAAGTAAATTCTATCAGCGGTTATTGCAACCCCATGCTTTTGGCATCGGTTATTTGTGGCTTGTGAGATTATGAACCTTTAGTTGGTATCTTTAATCTACCTATATTTACTGTCACCAGAGGATTTTACATTTAAAAATTCTACTGCCAAAAATGCATTAAAAGTGAGTTACTTACAAATGTGTAAACTAAATATGGGTGATGCGGTCAAAGCTAATCTCCCCTGCTTTCACTCTTACTGTTGAGCTATTTATTAATGAACTGCTGCCTATTTTGTGATATTGAGGAAGGACTGTATTATAACGGTAAACACTGTGTTATAAATTTAGGGAACACGCAAACTCACCGGCTTGCGTAGTCTCTTTTTTCTCTGTAAAATAAAAGCAATTGACAAACTTCATATTTGCACATATGTATGTACAAACTAGTCTTGACTGACATCATGATGGGAAGACGACAACACAATGAAAAACGCCACATTACAATTAAGTTAAAAATGCAAACTCACTATATTCCTCCATCTGTATTTCCTCTACAAATGGTAAAATTTTATTAAAATGCTAATATTAATTTGGCAGTAATTCTAACTCATTAGTTATAATCTGTCGGTCGTCTCTGCCAAACCCTTTTGTGTTTCCCATATACATGAAAATTCGAAAGCGGTGATGATGTCGCGAAGCCTACACCTTGTCAACACTTTAATACGTTCAACCACGAAATATGCCGCGTTTCGGCATTTTCACTACGATGGCAATTAACGTTCAGTGGTTGTATGAATAGGCAGTCTTAAATACCCCAAGCTATTGATTTGTAAAAAGCAGGACTAGAGTTATGTTATTTTACTAAACAAAACTACCATATAAATTAAATTCGTAGGCTTAAGACCGTTTTCCCTTACAAAAGCATACAGAAATAGCCCAATTGAAGCACAATTTTTATCGCAGTACCGCAGAGCAGTTAGAAATTTCTACAAGTAGCTACCCAAGCGTTAATAGGATCTAGAAAAGCGTAGGCTCTCTAGTTGATAAAATTGTTGCATTAAAAGTGACTTTAAACCAACTTAATTGCTACTTAACCTTCAAATTTTAAACGTGTTAAAAACCGGGTTTCAGGAATGTATAAAATACCAGCAATTAAAGTCATCTTTTGACCCATAGCTACAACCGGTTTACAGTAAAGAATACTACCACTAATAAGTGTTTTTTTTTTAACTTTTTGAAGGTTTATAAAATCGTTCATCAAAAATTGCTCCTTAAAAGCTTTCGCATGGTAATCTTATGTTAATTTCTATGCAAAAGAGTGTGTAGGCAACGAAATACACTTGTGTAGCTATTTTTATGTGTGCAAACACGGCTAAAATTAAACATTAATTTCTGTTTAACTTAAGTAGTGACAATTTAAAGAAGTTGGTGGCGCCAAAAGACAAGATGGTAAGGGAATGGTATTAATTGTAATCTATATCATTAATCATGCATTCAGGCTGTCATAAATGATAAGAAAATCAACAACTTGTGCAGAACAGAAAATTATGCTGTTATTTACATGCCTGGAAATCTCGACAATGATGGACGGGCGGACTCCAAAAAGCCTTTGTAAACCGCGCTGTCTTCAAGGTTGCGGTTTTGTCTGCTGTCCCTCATTGCAAACGCAGTGCTCCAGCAAATGTGATTTGTTTGTAGCTTGTTATGTTTTCTGTAAAAATCCTATGATGCAATATTTTACAACTAAAAAATATTTGTGGATATAGCGGATAATATAGTTTTAGATAATTACTCATATCTATCGAGTGGCACGACAGATGGAAGTGTAGCGTAATACGATGGTGGTTTATCCCTCGGTATTGGTGAGGCTCCATTTCTGCACTTTGAATTAGCTTTCTTGCTTATCGTTGGTTGGTCTGGTCTCTGGGTCGTGCCAGTATTCCAAACACCTTATCTATGCTGAATACATATATTCCGCCCGTACATAGTATCTTCTTTCGTCTTCAGGGAGTCTTGGGACGCTACAGTAGCTCTCTGACCTCTATCTGAGGTCACAACGAGTGTTGTCAGGAAGTTATTCCATATTTAGCATGCAGAAGGACTGAGAGGCCTTGAATAAAGCCTAACACTAGAGCCATAGAACCATTATGATGTATAGATTTTGCTGTCGCTTTATTCCATTTTATTTATGCTCACTAGTTGTTTAAGTATCTTTAGGTTATAGGAATTGTAAAGGAAGCGTAATTTGTTGGCATAGCTTGTCCTTCTTCGTATAAACACTTTGCCGTCCATATCAGCTGTTAAGTACTGTCTACCAGCATAACTAACACTATTAATCATGGTATAGTACTAACACTTCTAAATAGGTTCCCTTCTAGTTGCCCTTGGTTTTAAGAATAGGGTTAAGTTTTGTATGTTTTAACGCACCTTGTTCTTGCTATAAATGAGCTAGTTTTCCTTGTTTCTGGGACATCCTGCATCCTAAGTTCTTTTGAGTTATGCTCTTGATTGTATCAGCGGAGAAGTAAGTGTGCATAGTTTCCCTTGTAATAGATAAATGCCACCGGTAATTTGCACTTACGCTAAAGAATAATTGGATGACAAAGAAGAGGACATGTCACCACTTATGGCAATAGTTAATTGTTCCATTTCTCCCCATGCTATTTAGAAGTTCCACTTTGGGGCGATTTTTGGGCAGGTGTATAAGGCAGGCGAGTAACACGCTTTCAAAAATACAATTAACCAAATCTAACAGTGTTTTCGATGGAGTGATTTTTACTATGTAACGCTGTTTCACCAAGAATTAAGTGCTTTATTAAAAGTGGAACTCTCGAGGTTGCCATAAAATCTCTTGAGGCATTAGTGATTGCTTTTCCCACCTGTTTTTTGGAAACCTAGATGTTCATCTTTTAATAGATCTGGCTGTCCTTTTAGGGTCTGACACGGTATCTCATCGAGTTTATCAAAGGCCTGTTAAATTTCTCATTTCCTTCTTGGCTGTACTTGACTCTATGGTGGTTCATTTTAGTTTGTTACCCTTACCTTAGGATACCGAAATACACTGTTTCACGGAGCACGATGTCCCCATGGTTGTTGTTTCAAAGCACTGCCCATTAGTGTGATGCCATCAGAAGTTAATAGTCTTCATCCCTAAACCAGTCGCTATTGCTCAAACCAACTACTAATGTACCCTCGAATTTAATAGCCCTAATAATCTGATGCCCTCCATTTAGCCAAATATTGATATCATCCTAAGGGCCGAATATGTCTATTTCCAAGGTCCCTCATCCAATTTCGCCCTCTTTTTCATTTTGCATATTAGATGTACAAATGTGATTGGTTAAATGCCAAATGGCCAAATGCATTCACGCCCCATGCCTTAGTTACCTGGCGAGAAGTCGATTTTCTACAGACTTTGACATTTTCTCAACTTCTCGTTTTATAGTTCAGATTGTGCCTATTTATTATGGTATGTCCAATGTTTTCATACCACAATGGCACGATTAAGGTCGGGTTTTTATACCTAACCTTACCATAGCTCCTATTAATCTATGTTAGCTTTCATCCTCTGATATAATATTGTTCCGCTAAAGGGAAATGTATCAAAAGCTCTTTGATACATTCAAACTGTCTTTCGGTGTTAAAAATAGCATAAATAATGGTTATTAAGGCAAATAGAAGGCTTGCTGGCTTTTAAAGTTGAGCAAGGGAAATAGGTTCTCAGCGGTGTACAATTTTGGAGGCAGAGGAATACCTGTTTACCTCATGTGCAAATAGAGCCTCGGACCCTAGTCATAGCCGCCTCTGGTTCCTTCTTCGTTGAGTTAGACCATGTTGTATTTCCCTTTATCTCCTTTGTGAATTTACTTGCTGATTGTGTGCAGAAGTGGTTCTCCCAAAAACACACAATTATTATCCTCCAAAAGGTGAGATAATACCTCTAACTGTAATTCAGAAACGGGATCATGCTAGGTCATGAAACGTCAACGATCAGTGAGATTGAGAATACCAAACTTCTACATCGCTATCATTGCCCACCTACCTTATAAACTAGTTACATTAAGATGTGTGCTCTTGGTACTTTGAAATTGCAATGGCTTTGGTTTTCTATTCTCTGTAAGATTTTGCAGCTACTGAGGGAAAATATTGTCAAGGGAAAGAAATTGGATTTCTCGGAAGGGATCTGTAGTGAACATTTGTCGCACTGCAATTTAAGGACTTTGGATCTGATGATACATCGAGAAATTCGTAAATTTAATCTCTAGGATCTTCTACAATGTTGCTTTAACAGGTATTCTGGGAAAAAATCTATGCGTATAAGGAAAGGCAATTTACAATTAAATCTAATCACATTTAGAACTAAAACTCTAGTCCCGCTTTCCCCTTTCAACCACTTTACGCTGACACATCAGACGCTCAACTTCACACATCCCTCCCCCACCCTACCCTTTATCTTCGGTAGTAGCATACCCTTTTGAAATTTATACCACTAATAGTCATTATCATCCAATCAGAACACAGAGCAATTCCGATTGCACGAGTAATCTTGGGTGGCGATGTAGTCAACCAATTGGATTTAGGGGTGTGTATTAAGCATTGTATAAATTTCCTCCCTTTCGATCCTCCTCACCTTGGTTAATTATTCTCCATGGCGACGGAGGGTGGCGTACATGGGGCTCTAGCTGTTGTAGCAGCATTTTTAATACACCTTTCATTCGGATGTATGTACGCAACAGGTAAACTCTTCACCTTTTTTAAACCTCGTGCACAGGCAATATGATCCCCTATGTTGCTTCGTATGTTGTGAAAAACTTCAACCCGGAGTTCAATAATGGTTTAGTAGTTTGGATGACAGCTGCTCCTCTTATGACACAGGGAGCATCCATGCCACTTGGGGGTATCTTGGCTCCCAAAATGGGTGTAAAAGTGGTTGCCATTATCGGATCACTTCTCTGTAGGTGAGTAGAGTTGTCTTCACACAATCAAATTCACAGTTCAATAACTTTCATTCTTTATTACTGACGTACTTTTGTCTACCTATCTGCATCATTCGGTACCATGGCATCTATTATCATTTCATTAATTACGAGTCCAAAATCCGGGACTCTTTGCCCCATCCTTTGTGGCACCGAGTCTTTCTTGAATTATTGTAAATAGAGTCGTGCCAACCAGTGTTTAAATCAAACATCTCACTATAACGTGAAGAGCCAACTTTGGCTGAAGCTGAAAGGAGGTAAAAATTATTTTTCGTCCCGTGCGACAGCCCGCTGCGCTGGTGCGCGACTCTTTTATCGATCGATGCGCAGCCGTTGCGCAATCGATTGTCCATGAGCTGGGTTAGCGTTCGGTCGAGCGACCGTGAGAGCAGCTTCAGGTCGCAAGCTGAGTCTCCAAGCCATACTTATTAATGATAATAGTTTAAAATCATGGCATGAATTTATGATGTTTGCCTATAAATACTTTACAATAAAAGCATTTTAACAGGTTAATTTTATTGAGTAAATATTTGTAAGTTTTCCCGTCTAAGAAGTGTTTTTTTACCGCACGATGATGGCGAATTTTATACTTGCTTTCTCCTTCAATCACGACACTCTCCCATCTGACAGACGATTGAAATTCTTAAGATTTTGGGTCTCGAACGCTTTGCGTGATTCAGCTTCTCCTAATCCGCCTAGTCCTTAGTACCACCTAATTTATGTGAAGCGAGTGCATAAATAAATTATTTTTGGTCGATTTGTTATTCCTCTCAAATTACATTGAGGTAGTCTGCAAAGTTGGTCGTGTACTCGAGAGTTTGGGTTTTTCGCATGAGAATTTGACTTCCAAGCATCACAATCTAGACAGTTTTTTATGAAACTTACATGATATTGTTCGACAGGTGTATTATGCGCAAATCTAATTTTAGAAGTAATCTAGTTTAGCTTACTTAACCCGGTCTCCACCCAGTTTCTTATCTGAGCACTGTCGCCGCGGTTTAGGCGTACTGCTGATCAGGCATGCAGCCAGCCATCATAATTTTCTTGATCAATCCAACTGCTGCTCAGAGTTCAATAAATGTTAGTAGTATCAGAGTGAGGAATTCTTATGTCCATTAAATTGTATACAACTCAATCCTTTCGTAAACCATGCCAAGTGGCACAGCCAGTTGCCATTAGTGAACGCATCTGTAGACTATGGACTTTTGCAATAGGACTTTCGCCTTACCATAACTTTAGTGATAATCCTACGTGTCAGTGTAGGGTACCAATAAACAAAGAACCGGACAACATTTGTCAAACTTCTTTATGACGCAGTCACATGCAGTGGTACACCCTCCACTGGTCACAGGACAGCCACAATCGCCTTTGTGTGGTACGACTCTCCTGTCCACTCCACCAGAATGAGGATTGAAAGTAACTTTGTTGCCGAAACGCTAGAGCGCTATTCTGGATCGTGAGTAATACATCCAAAGGGTGTTAGTTAAGCCTCTCTTATTTACTCTATGTATGATTCAATCCTCACAAAAATATGCCTAAGAAAAAACGTAGCAATTTGTAGCAAAGAAATCTCGCGCCTTCTATAAAAGCATCTTATGAGGGATATATTTCTAACCCATTCACGACAAAGATGTCGGCGTGTGCTCAAATACCACCTACTACTATAATATCCCATGTTTGCATTACTCAACTTTTGACGTCGTTTACAAATTGGAGGTTGATCTACCGTTTTGCGGTTCTTTTATACGCTACATCTCGGTTTTAATTTGATAATATTCTACCAATCTAAGCCTTATCTGAAACCAAGTTGTCAGTGAAAACAAAAAGAGCTTTGGATTTTTGGAGCAGCTTGTGTCAGCACCAGATCTAGGTCTACGCGGATCTAGAGTGGATCCACGCCGTCGAAGATGTCTATTTGTTAATGTGGGAATCCCGACTGCAGTCATTTGTCCACCATTACAATGGCAGCATTTAAATAAATAGTATTTTTTTAGTATTTTTTATTCACTTCGAGGTAGTTGATAAGTCTCATTCAATTTTGTGCATTCTCTAAATTTGGCATGAATCGACTCTGTCAAGTCAAGGCTTTGATCGTTGCGCTAGTCCATTTTACTTTTAGCAACTTGGCTAGAATAGTCAGCACTTTTGCGGCAAAATGAGATTTTGGGGTGGTGAGGTAACACTTCCTAGGTCCGAATCTTGAATTTTCATGTCAAGTTCCAATTTTAATACTACAAAAAAGGGGGTCCCACCTTATGCACTGAATCGTCGTACAAATTTATGTAATAGTGTCTACTTCTATAACTTTCACTCGATTCGCCTATTTGTGAAAACGAGATTTTAATTATATTTGCAAAATCTAAGCCAAGCACTTTCTCTCTATGTGTCGCCTAATCTGCTAATTTCTAAGCTACGGCATATTTTTTCTGCTGTGACTCAAGTTTGTCTATCGTATTTTGTGACTGCTATCCGATAAAATAAAGGAGCATCAGGTAAAAGCCGATGCAATTCTTTTCCAGCCATTAGTATTGCACACTGCAAGTTTCTACGCTTAGGTGATTATCCTTTTGCTACCTAAATAATTTAAGTAACCTCTGAGTGTACCTGCGGGGGACACTGCTGCCATTGCGAATCGAGACGGTAATCATCGCCGCCCACTTGGCCTCTTCAGTGGTGTTTGTGGCATTTGACAATGGTGTAAATTTACCGGATTTTCTCATTATACATTCTCACCAATTTCGCAGACATTCACGGGCATATGCGCGTGTTCGTGTAAGTGGAAAAGCTGGTAACGATAACATATATGTCAGTTTTACCTGTTTCGGTTCCGCACGCGCTCTGTTTTTACTTTCAATTTAGTGAAATGAAATGTTGATCATTTGTGTAAAGAGATAGCATTGTATTGAGGGACCCTATTTCTCTGCAACAAACGGTTCAATGTGATTCGTGTAAACTACCCTTGTGCAGTATAATGTTATCCTTCATTCCTTTAAGTTGGCTCTGCTCTTTTGTGCGCAATTATAATAAGGTGCTCACAGACGCCATCTTTTTTGCGCAAGAACCCTTTAAGAATAAGTTTTGCGCCTTTTTTAAATCATCGTAATATAGCAGGAGTTCCCTTCCATTGGTCGAAAAACCAGCAAGTAATGTTACCATGCGTCAAAAAGACATCAACTTAGCCATCCTGTCCATAGGTTGCATTCAATTCACTTCCGTTGAAATAAACTTTATCTCCTTTTTATATCAGCGCTTGAATCTCTTTTTGCTTCTTTTTATACGCCTAAACTTGCCCCGAGACTGCTTTCGTTTAGATAGATAAATTGCAATTCACTAGGATAAATTTGCCTTGATGGAAAGAAATAAACGGCTATCTACAAATTCCTGCTTTTTATTTTACTAAACCATCCTCATTTTACTTTGACCACTTTGGTTGGATAGTAAAAGTAGATAGAAAACTTACTTGGCAAGGTGCTTGAAGGATACACAAATCAAGATTTGCTAAGATGTTGCACACGAACTTCGTTTTTTTGCCGAAAAGTCCCCTTTCGTTAGATTGCTAGACATACCATCATTTTCTTGATTCTATTGTCGTATTTTACATGTGCAAGCAAATTAATGCTGTCTGATTGCTTACCGGCCTTTCCTTGGGTGACGTGTCGTGATGATCCTTTTTTATTTTAGCATAGATCATATCAGAACCGATATCACTAATTTGTTTCCTTCTTCATGAATCCAGTCATTTGCACTTCGTTTGTTTTAATCCCGTTGTCAAACACTATCCTTGTGTAATCAACTATGTCAATCCTATAATTTTACTTTTGTTACGCACCAAAGGTACTATTTTCAGTCTTGAAACCGATGTTCCTAGTGGTGGCATAAAACCAGAATGCTCACTCGTGTATAATGTTGCCCGGAAAATATGCTGTTGGTGGTTGCGTCCTACGCTCCCCCCCCCCCCTCCCTCTGACTTTATTTGAGCTGTCAAGTCTGTTGTATTCCTTGTAAGACACTTTACCTCAACGAGATCCATGTTTGACATGGTTTTACCCACTACATGCCCTTTTAATATACCAATTACTATGAGACCTCGAATATCCTGCCTTTGCGACCCTGTTAGATAATGGAAAACCATTAATCCAAATAATCCGACTTGACAACTAGAGATCGGTAACTCAAACAATAATCAGTTATTCATTTATGAATTAACGGCAGTGACAACAATTCAGTTTCCATTTTTTAAACGATTTTATGAGTTGCTGTAAATATTGCATCGGTTAAACAATATCTATTTAGTATTCGGACGTGGCGCCTTTTCATTTTCTTCCTTCCGTGTAGGTTTCCTTGCCCGTTGCTTTGTTCGGTATCGCCCACGTATTTGCGATCATATGCATAACTTCTGACGTTACACCGCTTCTCAGTGGTGGTAGCTTCAGCACATGAAAATAAGGGGCACAGGAGTCTGGGAAGGGCCAGATGACTGGTAGCATAAGCACTCAATGAAGTGCCATACCACGAAAATGTACAAGGAATTAATTTTATGCTGCTAAGTTGACTCTGACTTATTTGTCTCATTGTGAATGAATAGATAAATTTCATTCTAAGGGAGATAAGCAATCAGAAGTGTGACAATTTGAGGGCTAAAAATCATGTAGATTGAATGTTTGAATCTAGTTAAGTATGATAGGGAAAAACGTCGCTTTACCAACAATCAAGGCTAATAAGTTTTGTTGTTTAGAATGAACTCTGAGGATGTGCATTTGTTGGATGTCTTAACAAACCATATTTAAGGAAATAAGAAAGTTTGGAAGGCTATACACATTAATTCAGGGTCATTTTGTCAAAGGAAGTACGAGCCCTAAAAACCAAGGATATCCGATTAAGTAATTCACTTTATTAACTGGAGTTGGGAATTTTGCCCCAATTAAAAGGAAATCTAGTTCTAAGCTGCGACAGTTTTGCAATTTAGGACCACATGTTCAGGAGGGGAAAACTTAGCGGCACTAAATACTCAATGTGATCGCACATTTCACTGCTTCTTTTGAGTTTTCGCTTTTATCGTGTCATCGAGATCTCTGCGACAGAATCACGCGCTTAAGCGTGCTTTTAAAGTCAAATGCGCACGAATCGCCTCTACACCCATCATTGAAGAAAACGTTTTGTCCTCTGAAGGCAAGTTTTGATTGGTGCAACGTAGGGGCTCTATTATTGGTTAGCGCTGGCGAATTGAATAAGAGTTTTTACATCATTGAACGACCTATCCTGACATCTGGTTAGGGCTACCCAATCAAAGGCCAGTTCATTCCTACCCTAGGTATAAAGGGACATGCATGAGGAAGAAAATCAGTTTTGTGTTCTGCATAATGGTGAACAAAGATACGATACATGGTGTGTTGGTTGTCATAGCTGGATTTTTTATTCACTTATCCTTCGGTTGTATGTACACAATCGGGAACATGACTCCTTACCTTGCCTCGTATGTTGTGAAGTACATTGACCCTCACTTTAATAATGGCCTGGTTGTTTGGGTCTCTGCCGCAGCTTTGGCAGCTCAGGGTCTATTTATGCCCTTCGGTGGTATTTTATCACCAAGACTGGGCGTCAAACTGGTTATTATACTCGGCTGTATCATTAACAGGTTTGTCTCGATAAAGTCGGTAGACTTCATTTGCTTATATTTCCTGCTTGTTTTTACAACAACATTAGAACGTCTGCCTACGCTTTTGCTACTTCTTTGCTTTCCTAACAGTGGTGGCTTTATGCTGACGTGTATTGCCCTACGGTATGGATTCGTTTGGGTCTTGGCGACCCATCTCCTTTCGCTCGGTTTGGGTGTTGGATTTGCGTATTCCGTCGTTATGCAAGCTGCCGCCAGCGTACGTCGGTCTCTTGACTTACTTATTCACTTAAAGATGCGAATGGGAGAATTTGATAGAAAAACGTGACCCTTTCATTAACCTAATCATTTTAAACTTTCAAGCCGTAGTTTTGTATAGCCTAAATTAAAAAGTATTTTTAATTACCAATCTAATTTTTTAGTGGTTTCCTGTTAATGGGGGTTTTGTGATTGGTCTTATTGCGGCTGGTTTTGGTCTGGGAGCTCTTGTCTTCACGCCGATTCAAATGGCGTATGTGAATCCGGAAAACGTCAAGGTAAACAACGTGACCAGGTGTGTTTCCATTTTACTGATTTTCTTGAACGAGATGTTTTTTTCCAACTATCACGGGCTATAACAATGCTCTAGCTAAACTAAGATCATAATTTCCGATCTTCACTGCCAATTTTGGTTCTCATATCTTCTCTGTCCACTTCTGTGTTTACCTTCCTTTCCAATTCACTATTACTTTCTTCAGATATTATGAGGATCCAGGAGTGTTGAGTCGCGTACCAACCTCATACCTCGTTATCGGTGGTGTAATGTTGGGCCTGCAGATTATCGGTTGTGCCATAATTCGGAGGAAGCCGACACCCAAGGAGGTGTGAATTATTTTTTTTATTTGAGACCTTCAGTCATTTTCCTTGATTTTTCATCCGAAATTAACAGACGGTTAAGTTATTCCGCTGTTGATTGTGCCTTGATGGGTGATAATCGGACGTTGTTTTCTTTTTGACTAGGATTCCATCCCTGAACTAAGGCAGAAAAAAGAGTGAGTTTAGTCTACTAATTTTGTCCTCTTTGGTGGCTTTTTCAAATCACGCTACAAAAAAACCTCAGTCATGTTTCCAAAGTATTTGTTTTGTGCCTACCACTAAGGCACCATGAACCATCGTAGACATTGTGGTTTCGAGCTTCTCGTACATTGATGTCAAACTCATCCGGTCATGGCAAGGCTGTCACTGACCCCTAATCACTAACCTACCAGCCGTGAGGGTGGTTCATGTTCATCGCACCTCTCAACCCCCCTCCCAGCGCGTCAGCTTGGCATTGATGTTTTACCGGCTTGTTACCGGTTTTATTTCAGTTTGCCTTTTCACTCATGAAAACCCCTGATATATGTGAAACAGGCATCAGAATTAGTTACATCAGCCTTTGCTAATGTTAAGTTCATATATTACTTGCCATTTAAAATCAGTGCTCACTGATTGTGATGACTATCAGATTGCTAATGAGAGTGAGTTTTAATGGAGAAATTGACTGTTTTGAACGGTACTGGATGCCCTCTGGTTTTGCCTTTTTAATCCCATCTAAAAGTTTTGAGCCCCCTGTATACATAGATGTAGGTGATCTCAATCATTCAAATTGGATCTGCAAGGTCAAAATTGATTTATAGTCATAGTCTGTTTTTCCAGGATGTCACGTTCACTGGTTGGCTAGGACTTTTCGTTCTACTTGGAGCTTGGCTAGAGTTATCGTTTTCTCCTATCTTTTGCCAGAAAATCACAAATGTCCTCTCATTTGAATGACTTCCTAACATTTATATTTTCGATTTGCTTGCAGAATTGGAGATGCGCTGCTC